AACAGAACATACTTGAAGAAAACTTCATCCTCGCACACGGATCAGCAATAGATGCCGGCTAATAACTCAGTTCTGAAGTATTTCATATTATGTGCCTATTCCATATTTATCGCCTTTATTCTACCGATATGTATACCTCTAGTGGGTATCTTCTCAATCATTATGAAATATTACAACAAGACGCAAATATCAAGAGATTGCCTCCTAAAGTCACATTCACGTTGCCACTATTAAAAACATGCATCATAAACGTGTTTTGCCGTGTCCAGAAATCGTTTAGGAATATTACGTAATTATGTCGAGTGTTTGTTTCGCATGATAAAGGAAATCACCACTTATCATTTTGAATAACGTTGGTTTCTAATATCTTCTTTCAAAAGTTTTTTTTTACATTGTAGATCGTTAGTATGATCCGTAAGCGTTAGTTCTAGTAGCAACTACAAGTCTATTTATTATTGACTTAATATTAAAACGAATAATGAATTATTGTTGACATGGCTGTCGCAACAAACCACTGACCAAACAGATGAGGCTTCTAAAGAGCGACTTTATATAATATCCAAGTATTGCCATCTAGTGGGGCTTTGCTGCTAATAAAGGATTTTCTGCGTTAGGCAAGGCTTTATTATTAAGGTATCAACTTGCTTAGCTGAATTGACGATATGTAAGTACATGAAAATAATTATAATAAAAATAACTAATTAGCTTACTTCCCTAAGCACCTACGGTTGATATTCCTATAGCATATTGTATACTTTAATATGGTTGATTCTGATTTTTAGATCTTTGTGAATGATAAAACTTAACAGCGTATATTCACAATCAACAATCTTTTTGTTCCAAAGAATTTCTTTCTGAATCGATGAATGTTAACTTAACAAGACAATTCTGTGAATGTTAAGATATAGACCATTGTATTGCAATTTTTTTTTTTAATTTGGTGTTTCATTCCCACCAGCCAGTAATGCTGGTGGACGGGCAGTCCCTCCGGACTACGCCGGAAGGTAGGGCGGAAGTCCCTCTTCAGCCTGCTTTTAGGAATCGTGGGAGTGTGTGGGTGGTGGTTCGGGTGAGAAAGTTGAGACGGACGAAATGAAGACAGAAGAGAGTGAAAGATTATCTGTGGAATATTACTGCCTCAGCATTTGCCTAAGTGATCCAAGGAAACCACAGAAAAACTTGGACCAAGGCAGACGGACCCGGAATCGAACCGACGTCCTCCCGAATGCTAAGCAATGGTCTAAACCTCTAGGCCATGCCGCTCGGTATTGCAATTAAGTTATCTTTATATACTTCTTCCTTCTTCTTAACGTGAATTTTTCTTTTGAGATACTATTACAGAGTAGTACTCGCCTGTGGTCGACTAATTTGTCATTCTGCTCATTTAGAATAAAAGGTTCCCGTCCCTTACTTGAAGGGTTTTTATTTTACCAACGCTTAAAAGTCTGTTGAAGTATGTGGATAACCGCGTTAAAAATATAATCCTACGGAAAGAAAACATAAAAACTAAGTGAAATAATGGATTAAAAGGAGCTTAGAAAATCTAGAACGAACCGGAAAGTAAAATAGTAAAGTTTAAATCGTTTACGAAAGAAGTTTCTAAATCACAAACATGTCATAAAAGTCGCTGCCGATAACTTTTCTCATATTGGTGTTTCAATAACCAGCTCAGAGCAAATATCTTTTGGAACAGTTTCCGAATGGCCAATTTCCAACAGACGAATTAGAAGAGATTTTCCACATTTACGAACTGAATTTCATTGCAGAATCGATGTGAGAAACTTTGAACATAGGTCACCTCGATTCTATTATTCTGTCATATCATACAGAGCCGTTTCAATACGTTCTCTGCTCAATTATTTGTTGCAAGTGTTTGTCATAATACATGCAGCGAATACATAAAATCCGATAAAAGCTAATAAACATGCATTGATCGAAATAGTATATCACGAAAACAAGAAAAATAAAGGATAAATTATAGAGGATTGGAAGTTATTGAGGTTGTATTAAAACGCATCAAATAGCCCAAACACTAAAATACGACACTTCAACGTCCGAAGTATATTTCAGTAGTCAAATTGCCTACAGGACTATACAGGATGTTTCTGAAATAAGTAGCTAGATTTTGAGGGTGTCAACTAGATGCAATAGTGGTTAAAGGACAAAAAATAAGATGAAGTTATAATCCGAAGCCGGTCCTGGGCGTGAATTGGTAACGTATAGAGAAATTGCGATAACGATTAAGCCACTACAGGTTGGACGGAGGAAGCTGGTCGAAATGACGTAGATGCGCGGTGGCAAAATTAGGCAGTTTCAGGTATAGCAATTATAGCTCTCTTTCTTTGGTATCCTTATCAGGGACGTAGATTACATTCTTAAAAGTAGGGATCAGATTACAAAATTAATAAATTAGAAAAATTAACTTATTCGGTTGATTTTCTTGTTGTAGATATTTAAAATTTATAAAAGAAAAAGAAATAGGCGCAATAATTTAGTTTAACGTGATTTAAATAAATGTTATGTTAGATAATGTGCAAGTAATAGTCATACAAACAGAAGAACTAATTGTTGATGTCGGTGATAGTGAAACAAAAGCATTGGGTTTACCTTCTCTTTTCTCATAAGTTGTTTCTATATTATTTCCTAGTACACTACTATCCTAACTGTATTAATACAATAGTTTACTCCTCCTGAAAGCTTATTTGTGAATCGAGTGATTTACCCAAATACGCCATAAATGGCAAGTATCTGCTCGACCGCTCGCCAGTTTCCTTCGTCCGACCTGTACATTGGTGAAAAATGTAGTGACGGTTGTAGAACGACTAATTAAGTAATTAAGTAAAAAAACAGTTTACTACTACGCTACTACACATAATCTATAGATGCCCATTGCGATAACCTTTAATTAAATAACTACAACAACTCGGATGTTGCGCTGCAATGTCTTATTTCTTTAAGTGATCGTAGCAGGGCCGGACTATTGGATAACTAAACATTTACTTAATTTTTCTGTTTTATAGTGCCCCATCACCTCCTGGAAGCTTGCTACTTATTTCAGGAACACCCTGTAGAGTTCGTTGGCGTTGAGGTTTTAGCTATTTAATGTGTTCGGCGCCAAGGTGGTGAAAGTGGTGAATGGGTTAAAGTATATAAATTGCGTATATTAGTATTAATTTCTGAAACGAGTCGGCGATATTTACATCAAGTTTATAGTGAACTAGATGAGCCTGCGACTTCGCCGCATGGAATTAAGTTTCTGACTATACGAGCCATATTTTGTCAATTTGTGAATTAACCTTATCATACAAGGTTGTACGTCGTCCCGGACTTTTTGATTGATCTTTTTAAGTTTTATAACTTTTATATTGCATGGTACATTATAGGAACTACGATAAATTTTCCCTAATCGGCGCCATGTTTTTAGGGTCCTCCCATTTGACGGATCCCAATACAGAATATCGTTAACATAGAAAGGAGATNTTAATAAATAAATAAATTAATAAACACCATTATAGGACAACATAGTAATCAGCGTTTGATTAAAAAATACAACGTGTAATTATACAACTGAACTACTGAAGTGGAACTTCTTCAAACACACAAATATACCGGGATAGGGGTTAAGGAATTGGTTTAATGGTGTTCTTTGTACACTATATTTCGCAGGGGTGCAATGCTGATAGTAAATATACTATAGAATGTCTTTATATACCACAATCATAGCTTGTTTGTCATTAGACAGTACAAACCGGCCGGTACCTCCGCAACCGCTATGTCCCTACAATTTAAGTCTGTAATAGGTATCTTCGAAAATATTCATTTAAATTACATGCTGCAAAGGGCCATATTGATCTATATTTAATGCACAATGTATTTAAAAGTACTTAATTGGATAAGAATTAATGCTGTATTGCTTAAAATCGCTTCGTAAATAAACCATTATTTCTCGTAAAAAGTAAAGGATAAAAAATGGTTATTGTGGGTTATCCCTCAAAGATAGACATATACCATCCCGAACTTTTTTGTAGACCTTTTTAAGGTGTACAATACTGTAGTATATTATTTTGATCTATCTCGTAGGGTTCAGCCAGCGTTTGCGCAAAAAAGTGCGTTTATTTACGACATCACATTACAAACCTCTAAAATTATCAGTGTTTCTCTACTATATTGTGCATGTATTATACATATAAACCTTCCTCTTGAATTACTCTATCTATTTAAAAAAAAACCGCATTTAAATCCGTTGCGTAGTTTTAAAAATCTAAGCATACATAGGGACAGACAGCGAGGGAAATGTGTTGCATGATTTCGTTACATAGCAACTGGCATAAAACGAACTTACTCTACCGTTGGTAAAGAAGTTTAACTGCAAAAAATTGCCTATTTGCTTGTATTCTTCATAGGTCGGAGATGACAGTCAGTAGGTAGTTCTCTTGATGAAAAATACGGTGCTGTGTCATCGCAATCGTAGAACAGTTACTATAGTTTTGAAGTTTGCTTAGTACAGTCCAAAATTAATTAGGAAAAAAATAATCACTTTAATGCATTGAAAATAACCCTACAAAAATTCTTCTAAATGTCTTATTGTTAAAAAATATTGTTCTACATTCAGATAAATAGTGTGCAAATAACACGTTTACAAAATTTAAAATAATTGAAACGTTAAAAATTATACAATCGCATAAAAATTCCGAGAAATCAGTCTTTGAAAAATCAATCTAGTTATGTATAGCAGTGTATGCTACTGTGTTTTTCTATTTGGTTCATAATATTGTAAGAAGATAAAACAATGGCGCATGCATTCTCTAATGACCCTAGCAAACAAAAATTAAATTGTTTTCTCTGTTTTCTAATGCAATCCTTAATCATAAAGTACCTGCCGGTTCAAATAATTAATTTTCACTTTGTGTTTAGTAATTTTTTGGAGTAGTAAATGTTTTATAACCATAATATTTTGACTACATTGCAAAATTAATTACTTCTTATATTATTTGTTTCAGGCGTGCAATTCTGACAAACCCAGACCTTCTTCCATCTTCCCCATGGAATCAGCTATTAGAAAACGACTTTTGGGGAACGCCTCTGAGTGATAGTGGATCTCATGGCTCATACAGACCTCTTTGTGTGTTAACCTTCCGCATAAACTACTTGTTGGGTGGCTTTCAGCCATGGGGTTATCACGTAGTCAACGTTATTCTGCACTGCTTAGCTACCGCGCTCTTGGTACGGGTGGCTCGTTCAGTATTACCCACGAGTTATTCATATATTGGATCTGCTGTTACCGGATTAATTTTTGCTGCTCATCCTGTTCATACTGAAGCAGTTGCTGGAGTCGTTGGAAGAGCTGATTTAACTGCTTGTAATTTCTACTTCATGTCGTTCTTGTGTTACATAGCCCATTGTAAATACAGAGATCATAACCATTACAGAAAATTATCCACGGTAAATAATTTCTGCTACAGAAATGTACAGGAAGATGATAAAGCTTCAAAGTATCACAAGTTTGTAGTTGACTTACAGAAGAAAGTGACAAATTGTAATTGGCCGAGGAGATTTACCGAACTCGAAGTGCCAAGAGATATGGTTTCTACAAAATTTACTTTAAAAGGATATGCTTTATCTGACGGTGTATATGAGTTTTCGTGGACAGAGAATTTGAAAAAATGGACATGCCTCAGTTTAACTATAGTTCTCGCGTTGGCTTCCATGTTGAGCAAAGAAACAGGCATTACAGTAACTGGGATATGTCTTTTCTATGACTTTCTTAGGACTCGCAGTTTTACCAAGGTATGTAATACTCTTATTTTAGTCCTTAGTAAACTTCATATGAAACGAACAGTATGGTACAATGTTTCCTTTTAAATCTGTTTGTGGAATTACTTTTGATAAAGTAGTGAATAACTGAAAAAAGTCTTCGTATTGTAAAAACATGCCTAGCGTTTTTTAGGATTAATTTTGCGCCGAAGACTATTCTCGTCTTCTTTATTTCTTTGTCATTCATGTCGCAACTTCGGGGATTTTGGGTTCACCTTTTGTAGATTTTTGTGACATTTCGGTGAAAAGCCTTCACTTATCTTTATAGTTCGAGGAGCCACTGATTCCCGATGCTGGGCAGGGCAGATCTAAATATATCCCAATACGTAAGAATTACCTGTAACAATTTTATGTTTATGTTAAAAGATAAGTTTAATTTAGTTATATAAGCGCGAAATGTATATTATTTGATTTGAAAGTTCTTATAATTGGTTGAATTTTAACCACATGCGAAATTATTAGAAATGAATGCGATCGTTTAAATTTTTGGTAGCCATTTCGATCTTGTTTGATCTCATTAGGGCAATATAGTCAGTCCTTACAAATTACTGACCAAACTAAAAAAGCTTCTACAGAGTGGTTTGAAGTAATATCCAAATAACCTTCGTCGAAATTTGAAAATAGTCCAGGCAGACCATATTCCTTATTCTAATTATTTATTCGGTTCGATTTGTTAATATTATTTGTTTTTTAATATTATTAATAATTCCTCTTTTGCTTTTGCATTGTATGCATCTCTTGAATACACACCTGGGATGCTAAAATTAGCACAGTTACTAGTCTGATGAGATTCCTGAAACCAAGATTATAATTAATAGCAATGCAGAAGTATGCGGTGCTTGCGTAGGTAGCATGTAGATGTACCATAAGTATATTGTATCAAATTGAGGATTTTGAGATTCTACGTTTATTAAAGAAGAGTACTGAACGACAGGCTACGCAGTTCACGCTTGAGTAACTAAAGCAAATTTATTCTTAAAACATCATCATCATCATCATCATAAAGTCGACAGCCTAAGATTGATTGGACACGCACCTCCACTCCTTCCTATCCTGAGTTAATCTTCGCATTTCCCTTAAACTAGAACAACCCACATCCTTAACTATTTGCGAACAGTAATCTAATCTAGGTCTACGTCTACTCTTCTTAACTCCTGTTTCTTCCTCTAATATGTCTATGACTAGACCTTCATGCCTGAGAACCTATCTCTCCAATTATTTATTAACTTTCATAGAGTCCTCCGTTCTTCTATTCTTTCCAACCTTCTTTATCCACCGTATCCTCATAATTCGCAGGTAACATTAAATTTCGAACTTTTCTAACCTTTTCTTTTCCGGCGCGCCCACCGTTCATGTTTCGTAAAACGTATGCACGAGACAATTGGGGCCCCAGCTGACAACTGTTTTACTAGTGTTACATGTACGTATTCGTGAGTAGTATGATATCAAAGGTATATACAGTCCATTTCAATTTGTTAGAATTGTGACCTTGAAGAAATCTGCGCGAAGATAGAAAAAATACACGGGCGTGAGCAAGACAGAAATCATAAACAGAGTTCTCGATGGGCGGTCTTGGGAGATCGGCTAGAACTGTACAGTACTAGACGGAAACGTTTAGAAATTTCTTAAAACAAAAATGTGTATAAATTAACAATAGAAAACAAAGCAAAAGTTTTATAGGTGTGTATAACGTTAAGTTAATTCACTTGTTATTATTTTTGGCTAAATATGCTTTTAAATAAAACATATTCTTAAATTTTAACGAGGCAGTTTAAATAATTTTGCAAATGGTACTGTACGCTTTTGTCTAGTTCTCGCTAGATGATCGGTGGAGAAATTAGCTCCGCAGACAAATATAATTGCAGTTGGAATTATGCTACGGTGCATCCTAATAAAGGGAGGGGCATATCTCTAACTGAAACGATCAGTATGTCTTCGTTTGCAGAAAACTCAAAAAAAATTTGAAAAGTTTTTTGAGGTCTACATGATTAAAGGGTACAGGGATGTGTTCCGAAGCAAGACTTTCTGCTGATTGGAAACTTTCAGTTAAAATACAAACAAGATGGTTTTTAAAATATCAGCTAACATTTCTAGTGTAAAAGGGCTTGATATTACTCTTTTAATTAAATTTGTTACTTCGCTATGTGCACGAAAATTTGTAGTTAGGTTAGGTTATATACGTTAATTAGAATGGTGACATCTCTGTTTTCCGGTAATAAGTAATCCAGGCCGTCTGGCCGTAACAATATGTTATTAAGTCTTCTCAAATCTAGAACGTCTATGTTTTCCGTTTCTGCATAAGCTTCCAGAGAATCGCAATTTGCACATAAATGAGAAATCGCAGAAAGTGGTTTAATAAGCATGGAAGAATGACTCTGCTACTGAAAGGGCTTTTTCTGTGATTTATATAAACCAACTGGCGAAAAAGAAACACTGCAATGTGAAATTAGCGTTTAATTAAAAGCTGCCATGACCCATCCACGTTTTGAAATATCTAATTTGTTACTGAACATCAGCGTATTTCGAGTGTTATTGCAGTCTTTTGCACTTTCCAGTTTAAATAATTGGCGGAATAAAATATTCCTATCTTTTTATACTACAAACCCTTTCTCTCGCTTTTAATTTTTCTTTTCATTAAAATTGTAGTTTTGAAAAGCTTTCATTTACGACGAGAGATTTGAAGTTTCCTTAATAAAATGCGATTTGAGCTTTGCGTGCTGGGACTAGGTACAAATTTAACTTTCAGAACTAATATTATGAAAATTTAATGTTCACTCGGATAACTTCATTCACTTCGAATCCATGAAACACTTTATCACCAACCCAACGGAACAAATTTTGTCCAATTATTGTGATTTGGCTTTAATGAAGTACATCTTTAAAATCGAAATACTGCAAGCAAATAAATCAGTTGGAATGCAACAAAATTTTTAACAGGGCATATGTAGCAATTGTTAGAAATAATTTTCTTCTAATTCCGCCTAGGCGAATTTGAATTTAAAGATGGCTTCAAAGTGACTAACTAGGTATTCAGTCGGATTGTAATATATTATAATATTATTATATGATTAGGCTAGTTGATGTTTAGTTATACTGTAAATACGAATGTACCTCTAACCTAAAGTGACCAAATTTTCATTAGTTATATATATTTTATTGTATGTATACATTGATAACAAACCGCACTGACTGCACTTATCTGAATTAAGTTAAGACGTAACGACAATGATCGAACACCACCGAGTAAATTTAAAACTCAGTACATTGCCTAATTTAGTTTACTCTGGATGCATTTTATGTGTTTTTTTATGTATTTTTTATTTCTTTATATTCATCATAATACCTAATAATTAATACGTAAAAGCGGGACATTTTTAAAAATCGATGGGACGCGGGACTATCCACCAAAAATTGGGACGTGTGGTCACTTTAACCGCATATTATAAAGATATTTTTACCATCATTGTGGTTAGGTACTAATTAGGAACGAAAAAAGGGAATGCTTCGTACTCCATATTTTTCTTCTTGCTTAACAGTATGTCATGTTGATCGATAATTATCAAACGCTTCTTTTAGATCAATATTTAAAGTGGTAATCCTATTACCTATAATGATGTTTTCATAGATTACGTTAGTTATACAAATTAATACATCCTTAGTGCTAAGCCCAGTTTGAAAGCAAAACTGTGCACGTCATAGAATTTTGTATGATTCAAGGAGTAAACAAGATTTTCATATATTTTAACTAAATTTGGTACTAATGAAATGTACCTAGAATTATTTAGCAGTTTTTTTGGTTTAAACGTGTGTAGTGGAACAACATCAGCTTTTTTAGAATGTTCAGTGCAGAACCCATTTATAAAGCATAGATTGAAAATATTTGCCGAAGGAAGACTTGTATAGGATCCTAAGGCATTAACAGCTGTGCATATACCATCGATCCCGTCTAATTTTTTCTCGGGTGTTAATATCGTCTATTCTCTATCAAAGATAATTAAATTGCGAGTGTCGGCAGTTAAATTCTTGTGAACAAAACGATGGGCTGATGTTGTTAGATTTATTAATTCTCAAGAAGAAAATATAAATGAGAAGCTGAAAATTACAATTTTGTTAATTTTACTTACATGTTGTAAATTAAATTTTTATAGGTATAAGTTATGTAACTGCAAACTTATGGAATTAAATTATATATACATGTAAAATACACTTAAAACATCATGACAAAATTACGTTAAATGGAAAAGCGGCAAGTAATCATTGACAGATCAATGAGAAGGTTAACCATAAATGATGGTAACGAGTAAATTTTAGGTTATGGTCATAGTCCTAGAGGAAGAACAAAGATCCATGGAGCGACCTCGGGTGGAAAAACAACGAAGAGAACCATAAAGTGGTAGATAACTTATTATATAGATAGATAGCAAATAACATTAATGGTGCTCAAGTTTTCATGGTCAGATGTGTTCATTAGTTCTGTATATATGGGCTATTCCCAGAAAGAGACACTTTCGGATTGTGTGGCAAGTTTAGAGAAGCAATACGTTCTCGAAGGTTGTAGTGTGATCTGTAGTTTGCAAATGTGATGCAAGTGCACTGTTACTGGATTCTGAGCGGCTATCATTTAGATATTGGTTGAAGCGATTTAGCAGATATTTTGTCCTATCTAACATTTGTCACAGTCCCTAAAATCGACTTTGTATATAGGATGGCTTAACCTTTTCAGGGTCTGTTTGTATTTAGTTCTTTAAAAATTTGTTTCATTGTTTTGGGTATGACATTCAATCCAATAATATTAGAAGCTAATTCGTGATAGATGTCTTCATGCCAGACTTTATTAACCTTGTATGTCTGACCATATTTTTTGGCACTTCCAATTAGGTTTAGGTACTTTTCAGCAATAGACACTGGGCTAGATCTTTTTCTTTTGATTTACTACTCAATTAACGAATGTGCATATCGCTTTCGTTTTGACT